GGCAGGTAAGGCCGGCCCCAGCGGCGAGCTTCGCCAGGGGCACCAGCCCCCGCCAGCATGGGGCTCCGCCAGTGGGGCTGGGGCCCCCGCTCTGCCTTGCCCCACCCCCATGCTGCAGAGGGGTGGGAGGGAGTGGGAGTAGCTGCGGGGTGGGGGTGATGGAGTGGGCTGCAGCACAGAGCTCTGCCAGTGGGACCTTGGCCCCAGCATGGAGCTCTGCCAGGGGAACCAGCCCCCAGCTAGTACGCAGCTCTGCCAGAGGATGATGGGGTGGGCCCCAGCGCAGAGCTCCGTCAGGGAGACCAGCTTCCCCCAAGTGCAGAGCTCCAACCGGCGCCCCTGCTCTTCCGTGCCCACCCCCATGCTGTAAAGGGATGGGATAAGGAGGGGGCTGGGTGTAGTTGTGGGGCATGGGGGGCTAGGGGTGTCATGGGGCCAGGGTGGGTGGAGGTCATGGGGTGGGCCCCAGCATGGTGCTCCCCCAGGGGGACCAGCCCCCCCAGCACAGAGCTCTTCCTGGGGATTATGAGGTGGGACCCAGCACGGAGCTCCACTAGGGGAACCAGCTGCCTCCCAAGCGCAGAGCTCCGCCAGGGGACCGGTGCCCCTGCTCTTCCATGCCCCCCGCCCCCCCCCCCATGGTGTAGAGGGATGGGGTAAGGAGGGGCTGGGTATAGTTGTGGGGCAGGGGGGACTGGGAGTGTCATGGGGCCAGGGTGGCTGGGGGTTATGGGGTGGGCCCCAGCGCAGAGCTCTGCCAGGGGATGATGGGGTGGGCCCCAGCGTGGAGCTTCGCCATGGGGACCAGCACCCTTGCTTTTCCTTGCCCCCTCTATGCTGTAGAGGTGTGGAAGATAGTGATAAAATAAGGGAGTAGTTGTGGGGCAGTGGGGCTGGGAGGTGTTGTGGAGCCCCGCCATGCACTTTCTATGCTGCCAGATGGGGGTAGCAGTGGGATAAAGTGGGGCAGGGGTGATGTGGGGGGCCTGGGGTGGGTCCCAGTGTTGTGGAGCTCTACCAGGGGCACTGACACACCCCCTCCCCTCCATGCACCCCCCCATGCTGCAGGGTGGCGGAGGGATGGGATAAGGTGGGGGCTGGGTGTTGTTGGGGGGCAGGGAGCTTTGGGGTGTGAGTCTGGGGTGTGGGGCCAGGGGATTGTTGGAGGGCAAGGCCAGTAGAGGCATGCAATGAGGCTGGGGTTGGGGGCAGGGCTGTGGGGGCCCCAATGCCATGAGGTGCAGGAGGGTTCTGGATAGGGTGTGAAGCCCGGATGCCTGGGTACTCAGCTGCGGCCTGCCCCCTTATCTCAGGCACTGCCTACGCCCAGGGCTGAGGAAAGGGAAGCTAGAGGGGAAGGGCTCAGAAACTGGGGAGCACCCGAAAGCCCCACTCAACTCCTGGAGCTGGGGTGGGACCCAGGCATCCAGGCTCCCAGCCCCGCCCCTTCCCTCACAGCCCTGAGATGGGACCCCCACACCAGGCTGGGGGGCGGGGTGCTGTTTGACCCCAGAAATGGCTGCATCTCATGTTATGAGCAGGGCTGGGCTGCTGGGAGGGGCGGGGGGCCCTGGCGGCAAAGGTGGGGGCATTGCCTGTCTAATTTCTTGTTGCCCCAGGTCTGATCCCGTCCCCCATGCACTGTGGTCTGAGGCCCCTGGGCCTCCAGCTGTAACAAAGCCAGACGCCTAGCCCTAACGATGAGTAACAAGGAAACCACGGAGGTCTCGGGTGAGTCGGGAGAAAACTCAGGCATCCGGGCTCCCCCCACCCTCCGCCACAACACTTGCGACCATAGAGCCTGCTTCTCTTCCAGTCTCAGGGGGAACCCAGGCATCCAGGCTCTATATCATCAGACCCCTCAGACCTGGGAGGGAACCCAGGTGTCCAGGTTTTATATCAGCAGGCCCCCCCTCCAAGCCAAGGAAAGAACCCAGGTGTCTGGGCTCCCTGCCCCCCGCACCTTCATCCTCTCCATGCCAGGCTGGAACCTAGGCATGCGGGCCTGACCCCCATCCCCCACCTTTCCCTTGCAGAGAAGAACCACCATGTAAAGGTTTTCTTGCCCAAAAAGCTGGTGGAGTGTCTGCCCAAGTGCCCGGCCCTGCCCAAAGAGCGACTGCGCTGGAACACCAATGAGGTAGGTGGCCCTGATCCTGGGGGATTCATGGGGGGAGTGCTGGGGTCCTCCAGCACCCCGATTCAGGGGGACACTGGCTGGCTGATGCAGGGGGGCTGTCTACACTGGGGGCCCCAATGCAGTAGTACTGGCTGGCTGGGGTGGAGAGAGGGCCCTGATCCTGCCTGCCTGGCGGGGCTTCCCCCACCCAACAGAGGCAGTTGGGGGGTGGTGGGGTGTCCTGATCCTTTTATTCTCCCCAGGAAATTGCCTCTTATCTCATCACCTTCGAGAAGCACGAGGAATGGCTGTCAGGTTCCCCCAAAACCAGGTAGGGGCGCCAGACACCCCTCCCCAACCAGGTAGGGGTGGCAGCCCCTTCGCCAACCGGGTAGGGGTGCCGGACCCTCCAACCACGTAGGGGTGATGGACCCTCCCACAGCCATGTAGGAGTGCCCAACCCACCCTCCCATTGTGTTCTCCCAAGACCATGTAGGGGTGCTGGACCCTCCCCCCCCCATTCTGGGGGTGTCTTAGAGGCGAAGGGGAGAGCTGGTGTTGTCCTGAGCCTCCACCCCCCACACTGGCACGGATGAGGTTAAGTGTGGGGGCAAGGGCTATCTGAATTGGGGGAGGTCTTAGGGTCCCTAGAGGGGGCTGGGGGTTTGTGGGCGGTCTCAGAGAGGACTTTGGGGACTGTGGCGGTGCCAGGGAGATCTTGGGGGTCTGGGGGGGGGGTCCCAGGGAGGTCTTGAAGGCTTGTGGTGGGGTCCCAGGGAGTCACCAAGGGGTCTTGTGGGGGCCCCATGGGGGTCCCAGGGAGGTCTTGAGGATCTGGGGGTTTCAGGGAGGTCTCTGGGGGGCTATGGGGATCCAGTTAGGGCAGGGAGGGGTTCACTGACCCCCTCCATTCCCACCATGTGCTCTCAGGCCGCAGAATGGGTCGCTGATCCTGTACAACCGGAAGAAGGTGAAGTACCGCAAAGATGGCTACTGCTGGAAGAAGCGCCGTGATGGCAAGACCACGCGCGAGGACCACATGAAGCTCAAGGTCCAGGGCGTGGAGGTGCGGACCTCCTCTGCAGCAGGGCAGGTCGGGGGGGGCTGGAGAGGGGCAGTGGCCCGCCACCTGCAGCCCCCCCACAGCTCCTCCATCTCCCCGCAGTGCCTGTATGGCTGCTACGTCCACTCCTCCATCCTCCCCCCATTCCCCCGCCGCTGCTACTGGCTGCTCCAGGGCTGGACAGGATAGCAAGTGGAGGGCCTGGCTGGGAGGGAACCCAGGCATCTGGGGGTCCCAGACCCCACTGAACTAACCTCCCAGTGACCACTTGCTTCTTTAAGCTGGGAGAGAACCCAGGTGTCCGGGCTCCCAGTCCCCCTGCACTATCCCCTCCAGACTCAGCCAGGCATGGGGGAAGGAACCCAGATGTCCGGGCCCCTCCAGCCCCCAGTCCCGTCCCAGAGCTGGGGGTAGAACCCAGGTGTCTCGGCCTCTCCAGCCCCTGTCTCCAAGCTGGGAGGTGCTGCCCCCACCCCAGGTGGAGAGAACCCTGGCGTCCCAGGGCACGGTGCTGACTTAGGCACCTGCGTGCCCGCAGAACCCGGACATCGTGCTGGTGCACTACCTGAACGTGCCAGCGCTGGAGGACTGTGCTAAACTGTGCGGGCCCATCCTCTGCTCCATCAACAGCGACCGCAAGGAGTGGCTCAAGTGGTCCAAGGATGAGCTTGTCAGCCAGCTCAAGCCCATGTGTAAGGCGGTGTCCAGCAGGGGGTGCTGGGGAGTTGGAGGGGTCATGGGGGGTCCGGCAGGGGGGAC